TGGCTGGGTTGTGTGAATGTGAGCTCAGAACACACAACAGTCTCTGGTATTTTTTCAAGCATGGATGTAGATGCTCTGACTTGACAACACAAAACCATTTATAGCTTCTCTATTCAACAGCAAGAGATCCAGAGAAACACAAAAACCTTGCAAGGCTTTTATAGCAAATTCTCAACATGTCTAGAAGGAAAAAAAGTACAATATAGCGATTTTCTAAAAATTCAGGTTGGTTGCCTAGGGAGGATGGATAAAAAAAAAAAAAAAGTAAAAGAAAAAAGTTGAAAAAATGCCTTGAAATCTGCTTATGGGGCTCTTTGTTGTTGCCAATGCTGGGGGTGAGCTCCTGTGCTACAGAAAGTGTCCTGGTGGGAAGATAATTTCCTTGGGCTCACTTCAAATATTACTGAAGAAGTCCTGACCCTGTTCAAATCACTGGGAGTTTTTTTTTGGCACCATGGCCATTTCATTCATAAAAGGCTCCTTCCCAGCTCCTGTGCCATTACAGCATCCCCTGTCTGTCATCAGGCTGGTCTCCCTGAGCAAGGGGAGAGCAGGTTCATCCTTCTTCCTCTAAATGCTTCATCAGCCGCTCCCTTGAAAACTGTAAATAAAGGCCGCTGGGGATAGCTTTTCTGCTTGACCCCTCACCTGAAATGAAAATAAAGGTGACTGAATTTCATCCTGACGTGGAGCTCCTTCCCAGGCTGGCTTTTTCCCGTGGCTGTTGACAGTTACCTGCCAAGCCCCATGGTTACCTTTGATTTTGCCGTAATGACATCTCTGTGCTTAAGATGGCTCTGGGACTGTAATCCCCTCTGCAGCCTTAACCAATTTATGGGGTAACCTGAGACCAGGCTCTCTCTTGCCCGTGATTTTTCCACTTGTTAACACTCACTGAAGGCATCAACAAACTAAATGCAGAGGGTTTATTTTGTTGCATGCCCAGGGTTGGTGAATATCTGCATTCACACCTGATATGAATCTTGGCCTTCAGAAAGATGCTGCATGTTCTTGCCACATGAAAATGGCACAGTGTTTTATTTCCCCAAAGTATGCTGCTAAAACAAATGCTTTGTTAACAAAAGCCAGGCAGTGCTCCAAGGAGCTGTTAAGAGCAGAAGTGAGGATTCAGCAAAGTGGAATTTATCCACAGTTTTGCCACAGATTTTCTGTGTGATCTGTAGCTTGCTTTGTCTCAAAGTGCTCAGTCCTTAAAATCCTTCCATTCAAAGTCTTGATTTGTCTCATGTGTTTAGACTGTAAGCTTTTCAGGGACAGGGATTTTTTCTTTGCATAGCAGCTTTTATAAGAAGTCCCTGATCTTTAGGGAACCTACCTGTGCATGTGCAATAGTTTTAAAAGAGAAGGCTCAACTTCATCACAGTGAATGATCCTGGCATTAGGGGAGGACACAAGTCCTGCTCCCTGCTCCCTAACCTGTATTATTTGGCTTTTCTAAAGGAAATCTTAGGGCAGATGATTTACACGGCAACGGAAGTAGAAGGAGGATCCCTGGGGAAAGCAAACACTTGAGACTTCAAGGTGGGATGCCTTCAGTGGCACATTTCTCCACTGGCCATCTGATCCAGGAGGTGCCCGCTTCCTAAGCACAGATCAAAGACCAAAGGTGACTTCTGAAATGACATGCAGCCACCTCTTGCATTGCTTAAATTCTCTCCTCCTGCTTCTGTTTGATCTCACTTTACTTTTCCTGTCACTGGAAGCAGGTGTTTTCTTTATTCTCCCCGACAAGTTTAGATCATCAGCTGAACAGTTCTAATGGCTGCAGTGAGAGAATCCCCCAGTGGCACAGCCAGCAGTCCTTGGAGCAGTCAATGGAAAAGCTCCTCTTCACTGCAGTCAGGTGTGGATGGGGTCTGGATGAGCAGATTTGGAGTGGTCATTGTCCTGCCAGACTTGCCTTTAAGAAGCAGATGTAGTTGTATTGCAAGGTGACACTCAAGGAAAGCCCAGGAGCTCCTCCAGGCCTGTGGCCCTGCAGCTGGAGGGCTTTCATGATGTGCTAAAGATGCACATTTCCTCTTTTTGTCCTAATAGCAAAGGCTCCTGCTTGTTACTCTGGGCCCTTAGCTCCATAAGGTGGCTCTGCTGACTGCGGTGAAAATGTCCAGCACAGATCATGAGATCTGATTAATGTGAGCACAAGTGACAGGCGTAAATCAAGTCAATGTCATATTGTAACCAGAGTTATATTAGATCAAGAGACTCCCCAGACTTGGGTCACTTGTGTGTGCTGCTCTGAATTTTGTCTGTTTTTCCTGTTTCTCTGTAACACTGCTCTGCTTTACTCATGTGAGCCTGTCTCTAATTTTAACCTGCTTCTTCCAAAGAGAAAGAGAAGCAGAATTTACCTAACAGGCAAGCTCTTAACAAAGCCTTGGATACCTGATACACATAATGGTCCCAGAGGCATGTTTACTTTGGACTGAGTGAGTGAGTGAAAACCATTTTGAAAGGACTTTTTCACCTCCAGCAACTTAACCTAACGAGGAGAAAAGTGATGTGGTTAAAGGGCTGTTTAAACAACGGCATTAGGGAGCAGATTTAGGCTCTCTGACAATACCTATATGTATTTGCCTTACACAGGTGCATAAATATGCCATGATTTATATCACAGGACACACCGCATAGGCAGTGATGAGATCTCAGCCATCCCTCTGCTGATGGATGATTTTTGGGGGATTATCAGGGACAAACAATTGATTGTTTTAGCAGGTTACAGCAGAATTGCCCGAAGATTTGGATCAGCACGACTGAGTTCACCAGCTGCCTGTCTTCTGCACAGAGGAGTGTCTGTGCAACAAGGAGCTTGGCTTTGAGGGCTCAGTCCTGTAAATGCTTTAGGTGGCTGGAAGAGCAACAGAGGCCTCCGATTTTGGCTGAAGGATGCTGCTTGTTTCTGCTCACAAGAAGGCATAAATGCCCCACCAATTTATGAGGAAGGCAGGAGAGAAGGATGAAATAAATAACTCAATGGGAAATGTGCCCATGTTGGACTGCTGCACTGCCAGGAAAGTTCATGTTTTTACACCCAAATGGGTGGCTGACCTCCTGCTGACAGAATGGGCTGTCAACACTTGTCCCTTGAAGAAGAGCCCCCTCTTTGCACTTTGTCTTCTGGTGGTGATAACCTGAATGGAGATTCCCAGATTACACCCTGCCTCTTCCACGAGCTGGGGGTCCTGCTTACCCATCACTTCCCTCTTTCAACATCCTCATGGGGGCAATGAATCTTATTCCTGGCCCAAGGAGCACTTGTCAGGGGCTAGGCTGACAGGGAGGTATGTCCTCCTTGGCCATGTTTTTGTTCATGGAATTGTTAATAGCTGAGATGCTTCCCCCAAATCCTGCCAGTGGCCAGAGCGGTGCCTTGCACGAGGGCAGTACAGACCTGGAGTGAACTCTTGTGTTTCACAGGTGGAAAAAGACAGCAAAAATGGTAAATTAGGGTCAACCTGAGGTGAAATCTATCTCTGCATCATGTCCTGTATGCAACTGTAGTCTTACTGAGAGTGTGAGATTGACTTTCCAGAGGCACGGAGGTACCTCTGACCTCAGGGGGAATGACCAGCAGGATGCCAGGAAGGATCTGCACAGGTCAGGTAACAAATCTCATTGTTTTACATTATAGGTGAGGTCCTAGACTCTAACTTAAAGTCTTCCTATTTGATTTTAATGCATCTGAGCTCAGCTATCACACATTTGGGCCTACTGGCAGATTCTCCCAAGGTGCTGCACAAACACATAAATATCTGCCTTTGAGTTTCTGGTCCTGGCTGATGTGTACTTTGCTTCTGCATGCATGTAGCGCAATGTGGAGAGGCCAAAAGCACCAGCACCCTCTGAATACCTTCATGGATGTTTGGAGTTGTCATTGCCTTGAGAAACAGGAGCACTGCCATTCAGGTGAATGGTTTGAGCTCCTGACTCTGGGAATCTGAGCCATCATCTCCCTTGAGTATTGTGAAAATAAACCAATTACTAATAGTAATTTCCTCCTGCAGGTGTTTGTTTGGTCTTCAGCACTATCTTCTCTCTCAGGGATGTGCAGATAGCTACACAGAGAGCAGCCATGCAGGGCACAGCTTTCTCCATATCTGCATTAGTAAAGAGGAGGCAAGTTCTCTTGGAGGCAGAGGAAAGTGAGAGCTGTGAGTTTGGTTCTTATCCACTTCTAATTGGGATGATGCTGGCAACTATCAGCCCCATCTTTTGATATTTGGGAGGAAGAAATGAGAAACTGAACAGCAGTAGTGGGCTGCTCCTGCATAAACTATTCTGGCAAAATGCCTTTTAATTTCATGTGAGCTGTGCCTGCGAGAAGACGGAAGGATCAAGCTATCATCAAGAAAGAGTAGGATTTGGAGCCAGGTTTTGGAAATTTTCTCCTATCTCAGTAATGAATCAGACACCTTAGGTTAAATTCAGATCCTACTGAATAAGCATTTTCTTTTTTTGTGTTTACCAGGGCCAGAATTTCACCCCTAACTTCAAATATTCCCAAACACTGCTGTGCCTGCAGCTTGGAGCTGATTACCAATGTTACATCCTAAAACTGTATCTCATTTATATTATCCTTGTAGGACCTGATTTTGCTCCCCATTATGGGGGTTCCAATGCTGAGTTCCAAGATGATGGGAGTGTCTTGTTTTTTCTCTGCTGTGTTATAGAATAGTGGCATTTTAAAAGTGATTCTTCTTAATTTTTATTATTCCTGGTAATTCTAGATTGCAGGCTTGGTTTCATTTACACCAGAAATAGGATCCATTTTCTCTGCCCTGGAAGGAAGACACTCTCAAGGGCTTACTGATATTTGTGTGTTTGACTTTAAGGCAGAAGTTTGTTCCTAATTAATTGAATAAGTGCTTTAATCCCTGGCCTGAGGGCTTCCCATAGAGCATTAGCTGTATTAAGAAGGAAATGGAGTGTAATCCCTTTAATATAAGCACAGGAGAACATGAGAGTTTCACATTTCTGGAAATAGTTTCTTTCCTTGTTGTATTATTTATTCTAATATTAATTTGCATAAAATGCAGTGATGACAAAGGGCTTCTCCTCTTTTCTGACACCAGTGCAGAGCCTGTGCAAGAGCATCCCTGGGCTGCAGTTGCACACTGGTAACAGTGTGCAGACAGAAATAACTCATGGAATTCAGCTCGTTCCGACGGTGCCTGTGAACACAGGTCCATGAGTGGCTCTCCTCCTGGAGCTGAGATCTCATCTTCCTGGCTCATCACCAGCATTCACGACTATTTGCATCGCTGTAGTGGCAGAAAATCTCATTTCTGAACCAATGGCTGCACTAGGCTCATGTGCAGCTACAGAAATTGGACCCTTGGATGAGATTCAGCTCACAAAACCTGGGTCTCTGGATTTATTTCAGCCCAACTGTGTATCTGCACTGGTCACATGAATTGTCCTAAATGAGCCAGGAAGTCAGGAAGGATCAGCTCAGAGGGAGGTGTCCTCCCTCTGCACACCCAAAATTAGGCAAGATTAGTCTTTTGGTGAAAAGCATCCAAACCTGGTTAAGGCTTGGTGTTTTCTAAAGACTAAATACTAATACTGTTTTCTAAAGACTAGATACTGCTCTGTGTATCCGGTGTGGTGTTCCTCTTTTACTCATGGAACAGAGGACTCCATGTGAGCATTCCCTGGTGCCTCATCAGAGGAAGAGAATGGCAGCATCTGAAGGGGACAGTTCAGGTGTCCTCAGCCACCCTCTAAGTGGAGATCCCTGCCTGCCCTAATTCTGCAGAGCTCCTCATCCTTCCATGCAGGGAGGGAAGGATGCTGTTTCCTTCTGCTCAGCACACCCACACAGTATGTCCTTTTCTCCTCAGCTTCCCCACCTTTTGCTCATCTCTTTAGCAGGATTTATGGAAGGATGGGCTTCAAGAGCTCACAAAGGGCAGGCTTTGTCCCTCTCCTGGCCACGTGTCCCCAGCATGGCTGGCTGCAGCTGAAAAAGTGGGTAACAGCTCCCCAGCATGATTGTTGGGGTGCTTTTGCCTCCAAGGAACAACACCAACCCCCTCAGGCTCCCCTTCCTCCACCAAGGCCTCCAGGGTTCTGTGGTTCAGTGGTGTCACAATGGAGTTTTCCCTTGACCCTGGAAACACAATGACCACACAGGCATTGTTGGATGCCATCACTGATGCTCCCTATTCCAGCAGGGAGTCAGACCTGTTCACCCTCTGGGTGACTCTGGGGTTGCTGGTGCTGGGATGCCTCCATCTCATCCCTTCTGGGTTCCAACAGACTGCATCCCCTGAGGTGTCCATCTGTGTACATTCTGGTTGGGTATATTTTACTTTGTTGAAGTTGGCTGAAATCAGTCATAGTCTGCCAATTTGAGTATTTCAGCCCCATCTGAATCCCCTTCCTCCTGCCAGTAGCCAGCTTCAGGTCTCCAGTTCTCCTATCCCCTGAGGTGGGATGGAGGAGAAGATCTGGTCTGCTGGTTTTTAACTGAGTGGTTTTTCTCATCCAGGTTCTTGAGTCACCATGGATATAATGAGGGATGCAAAGCCATGGAAGGTGAACTACACACAGGACTCTCATCCTCACTGGTGTTTCAGTAATGGGTTTGGCTGGGTCTGCTGGTCTGGGAAGATAATAGGAACTGGTGAAAATGGAATTCTGCATCCTGGTCAAAGGCAAACACTGGTCTGGGAAGCCCAGAGGGGGAGAAGAGTGAAATGTTAGAAAAAAAGGACTGAGAATATAAAAGATCTCCTTGCCCAAAGTGGGTGACTGTTGGCAAGGCACACAGAGCCCTCCCTCAGGTGCCGTGTGCTGCTGCAGTGTCCCTAATCACAGGGACATGGCAGTGCCTGGGCTGGCCAAGCCACCCCTGTGTGGTGGATGTGTTTGTGTAACAGTGGAGATCACAGTAACACCCAAAATCAGAGCTCACCTCCCCCAGCCCTTGTCATGCATTGATGAGTTACCACCTTTAATGTTTCAGCACAGAAACAGCTCTGGAGGCAGTCTGAAGGCTCATCCCACCAGCCTTCCTGGCTCCAGTGGTGCCCATGGTACCTGTTGAGGGACAAAACACACGGATAGTGCTCCCTCCCTAAAATCCTCCCCATCTCCAGAAATTTGCACTGCAAGGATTTCTGATGTTGGAGCAGGTGTCTCTGGCTTTATACCCCCTGGCAGAGTTTTCCTCCGTAGTTTCTCCAATGGCTTTGCAGAATGAGTAGTGACATTAGCCAGCTCTTTAAATATGTGATAAGCACATAGCAAATGCTACTGAAACACAAGATGGAAGCATGTGCTGATTTAACCTGAGTGACACTGGACCTCAGCAGATGATCAAAGTATTTCAGCAGCTCTGTATTAATGCTCTGCCTGGGGCCATTTGGGCACTCAGAGGAGGTTTGAGGAAGGCAGGAGGAAGGTGTTTTTTGCAAGGGAAATCCTGGGACAAGAAGACCCCCAGAAACCATTGCCGAAAGATGTAGTGTAGGACCTTCCCAGCCACCCTGCCTGGGGCTTAACTGAGCAAGGAATTGCCCTGTTGGAGTGGCCCCAGGTGGCCCAGAAGAGCAGCTCATCCTCTCCTGAGCTATGAGGGAGCGTTTTGGGTTTGTATCACCACGTTTAAGGGCTTCCCCCGAGGCTTAGTGGTTTCCTTGTGTTTGCCTTCTGTTCCTTCCAGCTGCCCCCCGCGCTGGACAAGTACAAGAGCACGTATCGGAAGGACTTCGGCTGGCACGGCGATTATCACTCACCCACCCAGGCACACGTACCGGTACCGTGCTCTTTTCCTGCCTTGGATGCCCAGCCCGAGGCTTGGATGCCCGCTCTGGGCCCGGCTGCGTTTGGGGCCGGTGCCGCAGGGCT